GGAAATAATGAGGGTGTGGCCCCACGGGTCCACTTATGATTTCCCCACTGGCGCTGACTCTGCAGAGGCTTCCTGTCGCGCCGTTCTCCTCAATGGATTAGCCACTCTGTGACCTGGCAGAGAGGCTCGTCATCCCGCCTCCTGCCAGGAGTGGGTAATCGATTGCAGATAACGGCATGATAGGAAGCCTCTGCGGAGCTGGCGGCAGTGGCAAAATCATGAGTGGACAGTCCAGCCCCATGGGGCCGGACCCTTGTTATTTCCACCTGTGCAGGAATATTTGTATACAAATACCCCCATCTCTACTCCTTACGTAGCATTTTCAGAAGACAAGAGGGACTACGGGGAATTGGGAAAGTTGCTTCCACCAACTTACATAAGCAGACCTATATTTAGATCCAACTAAATATAGGTCTGCTATATTTATAACATTGTGAAAAGTTCACAATATTCAGAAGGCATGGTACTTTTCACTCTCTTCCTTCTCATATTTTGCTTTGTACAAATGGATGTAAGTATGAGCACAGTGGAAAAGACAGCTAGGTAAAAGGGAAATTATAAGAAGAAGAATATTCAAAGTGCATTAGAATCGTTGCTACATCAAGAAGGGGTATCACTAAAGCACTATGGATGCAAACCAAAATTCTGCTTTTATTGTAAGTTCATTTTAAAAAAAACACCTCACTTGTGCAAGCCATGTTCTTTGATCTGGAAAACATGATCTTATTCTCAACCTGTTTTGAAGGCGATCTGCAGCTACATATTAATAGAAATTCACTTTGAATATAAGGAAATGCTGTCATACAACAATTGTGATACCATGTATACACAATAGGGTGTATCTCCAAGTAAATATGCACGACACTAGTGTGAGAAACTGAGCTGTGAATTGAGAAAATAATAATTTAACACAAATGCACAAAATAGACTTAACAACATTGCTTCTTCCTCTCAGTTCTCAATCAGTATGTGGGGGGTGGGTCCACAGGACTGTGTAAAGATCCCAGAGAAGATGTAGAAGAAGAGTTCTAAATACTGGAAAGCACTATCAAACTACTATTATTATTACAATTATTATTACCGTCTGCTTGAAGGTGGCATGTGAGAAGGAAATGGGGTGCCCTCGAAAATTTTGGGAGGTCCTGGTCCATCCTAATCTGTGATTGCTCACAAAACTTGTCTAGCTGAATCAAACTCACAAACACATAAGCTGACAAAAAGGCAAACTTAAATCGTGAAAAAGAAATTAGACATACAGTATAACGGTATGATGAAGTCAACTGAAAATGAATATTATAAATTGTTATCGAATAGAATTATCAAATTGGCACTGAAAATAGACAAAATTAGAATTTCAGGGTTTTCCCCGCCACATAATTTAAAAAATATCAACACAATCACTCCAAACACAACTAACTGCAAATGCTACTGTGTTCTATTGTGGGTGCCCGATATGTGAGTGACGGTAGTCTTAGTGGTAACCTATAATATTCCCAACAAGAGGTTGGTTCTTTGGTCAATTTAAGGCCTAATTTTTTTCACCACATACCTACGTCCCACGGACTTTCTCATGGTTAGTAACCATTTGATGGAAACAGTAGGGCTATTTGCATAGTTACAGCTAAATGATAGGAAGAAGACGGGAAAATGTTCCACGCAGGGAGTAAGCATATCCGTCTGGTCCTTCTCACAAATTTAGACTAGATGACAATCTTTCTCTTTAGACCTGCTTTCCCTTTAGTGACTGACTTGAGAGGCCATTTTAAACAGAGGGTCGTGCCTTGTTGTTTTGAATCTGGTTTTGGCGTTGATATGTTTACCATTTTTTCTCGTGGTATTTGATTCTTTTTAAAATATCCGCATAATACTGCTTTTTAAGTTTCTAAACATTGTCTTTTAATGCTGTAAGCCACCTTGGGCCCTTTTTAGGGAGAAAGGGTAGGGTAAAATATTTTAAATAAATAAATAAATAAATAAATCATAAGAACTCCTTGTCAAACCTATGAATCCTTCTTCAGCTTTTCACTCAATACTGTATGTGGAAGCTCAAATGGTGGATCTAGCAGGCATGACCCTGTTCTCCCCACCATGTTAGTGTTAACTAACCAAGAGTGAATGCTGGCGGGGGGGAGGTATACAAAGCTTAGCATCCAAACACATGTTCCTTCAACTGGAAATAATTCTGTACAGTACGAGAACAACTTAACAGAGGGACAGATCATGCCTTCGGTCCATGAGATGCATGTGTCTTACACCCTCTCCCGTTACTTTTCATACAGAATATTCTTTTTAATGGAAAAATCCTTTATGCCCACTAATAGCTTTATTTATTTTTTTAATGAGGGGATGTTAGTGCTCCAGCCGTGGCAAAATTGTACCATGTCACAAGTGAACTTTTCAGATTTTTTTTTTTAAAGGGAGGGAATTCAACCATCTTCTTTGAGTTGTGGAAGGGATGCATGTTGCCCATCCTGACCCACTGCTTTAGAAAGCTTCAGAAAGATTTGGGATATTGCTTTCTTTACAAAACATAACTTATTTTGTGAAGGGACCATGGAAGCCACAAAATGATAAATTCATTCAGAGGTGGAATTCAGCCCCTGGGCCACAAGAAATCACTATGATTACTTCTGTAAGATCTCATGGAGCAAGGCTAGTCCAGCTTCTATAAGAAAAGTAAACTTGGCATGAAGAAGCCGGTAAAAGCTAGGATCCTGGCTGCCACTGCTTCCTGAAGTCTTAGAAACAGCACCTCCTCCAAAGGACCAGCACATATTGTAAGAGGGCAGATCTTTTCAGCTAATGTACGAAACTGATTGCATGTTTACAAACGAATCACCCCGCAGATAAGATAAACTCAGAAAGCTTGCAACATTTTTCCCTTTTAAATTTGTATATATTTGTATATCTGTTTTGGCAGACGTTCTTCTACACAGTGAGCAAAATCATTTGCAAATTAAAAGTGCAAACAATAAATAAATAGGGACAGATGGCAAATTGTTGGCGTAGAGAAATACAAGGGTGTATCGTTTTTTGCAAATTAAAAGTGCAAACAATAAATAGAGACAGATGGCAAACTGTTGGCATAGAGAAATACAAGGGTGTATCGTTCTGCACACAGAAAGTCAAAATGTATAGTTGAGTTAGATCACACTCATTTCTTCCTCTTTCTCCAGATGTGCAGATCTTTCAAAGCTAGTGCCTGACACAGTAAACAAATAAATATAGCTATGCTTATCCCAGGGACCAATTACAAGACAAAAACAAGCTAATTTGTAGACTGAGGCAAGCTGATGTTGGAATAAACAGTGTTTTACCTCTTAAGGGAGATCTGTTTCCAATCGCAAGGTAACTGTGCTTTCTAGTTTGATCCTAATACAAGCTAAATGCTGCAACTAAGTGTTGTGGAAGAAGCTCATATTTATTTTTTATTTCTTTGAGCTGCAAGAAGGATTAGTATTTGAAACTGGACTTGTACTTCAACCAGAAAGGTCTTATTACCTAGCCCAACTACTTGCTCCTTAAATTTTACTAGCTTTTTGTCTATTTACTAGACAATGGACAAAATGGCACTCTCTCCACACTGTATACTCAAATGCTGACTGGATCTTATTTAAGCTCTGGAGACAGTACAGTATCTTACATCACACCTGGGACAGCATCATCATTCAGAACCCCAGGACATACAGCAGGGAACTAGAGAGGGAGGTGAGAGGAATAACTACGTAGCATCCCTCTTGTCACGTCACTCTGCCCAGTGGTAGGGGTTGTTCACCAAATTTGAAACTCTCTCCACATTCCAGAGCTTACCTGTTACAAATGCTTCCAAAGCCCTGACCTGCAGTCCTCTAACAATGGCAATTATAGCCGAGGACGAGGGCTAGCCTGTCCCTGTAAGGTTGTTACGATGGCCTGTCTCAACCCAACTGGGCAGGTCTCAGGTTTATGATGTTTCACAGTGGCATCATTCAGATGTAGAATCATGGGCGGACATAACCCGGAAATAATCTGGGTTCTGGATAGTAAAGAACGACATACTCGCCAATACAACTGTGTGTTAGCAGCTGCACCCCTTGATGCTAGAATCCTGTTGGCAAACATGGACAAGATTCTGTTCAGAGTGCTCAAAGTTTGCCCTGGTGACCTGTGGCTTTCAGTTATGCAACCCAGAGATCACCCTGTTAAAAACAAGATGGATTTCCACTTGATCAAGGAGTTAATGGATTCTTCCATGCACAAGCAATGGGGAAGATCTGGGCACAATTCATTAAGCAACAGGATACTGGTATCGAAGTTAGTTCAAGGGTGGTACCCTATACTGTACACTTCTGTTGCACACCTAGTTATTCAATCTTTATGCTGAATGGTGCACAACAGAAGAATGCAATACAACTGTTCTAGTGGGATTTTAATTCTCCTAATGTTACACCAAATTTAGGCCAATATGTATACTGGGCACCTAGAAGAATCGTCCACATGTATCCCATGAAGTAACTTGTCAGACTGAATGCCAGGAGATAAAGAATTTCTTCTTCACACATTACAGTGGCACTAACTTTATAGGGCATTAAACAAATGGATGGATGATATCATAATGTGTCTAGACATAATGGCTAAGCACAGGCATCCGGTGCAGAAGCAATATATTTCGAGATTATCATTAAAAGGAAGAGGACTCTTAGTGAGGCTTACCAGAGGCATCTCTAGTCAACCACCAAAGCATTTCCCATATTCTTAATCCAGTCAATCCCCATTATTTTTCAGACAGAAACTGGCAAAGGGAGGGCAACCCATGGACACACTAGGTGTATATTTCATACATTTCAAGGATGAATCCCTGTACTTGGAAATAAATTCTACAGTTAAACTCAAAGGATACATTGCACAGCACTAGGCGATCCCTGCTTCTTGACATGTGGGGCGGGGGAAAGAGTACAAACTTTGCCAAGTTAGAAAATATCACATTGACTGGGCTACACACATAAGTGATATTGCCCAAAGTCTTCTGTAGCCTCCTTGAAGGCTTATATCACTGTGGTTTCTGTCTGGACAGAAAACTGAGTTGCTGAATTGCGATGCAACTGACAGATGCTTTCTGAGCCATTTCGAGAAATAGAGGAGCTGTGAAGTCTGTAATCTCGGCCCATTCTTTGGTTCAAACACCAGCTCCGCCATTTTCTTTTCAGTTCGCCTTGTACCTAAATGTAAACAAAGCAAACCAGCATGCAAATTCTTAGCACTGTATCATAAGAAATGAACATCAAAGTGCAGGCTACCAAAGAACTCCAGGATGTTGATGGTGTGTTTGCTTTCTAAGCCAAGTTTGAACACAGAGCACAAATGTTTACCTTTTCATACCCCACATTTCTATTAAAAATAGTGCTCAGCTATTTCTTTAATAGTTCCTTTTTTAGAACGCCAACTTAAACACACAACACTAACAGTAGATCTGATCCCTGAGCAGGGGCTTCTTGATGTCTGAAGGAAATATGGTGACCTTGGCTAAGAAGGACATCTAGAATTACTAGATGATGGGTTATGGAAAGAAGCAGCAGAGTTGAAAAAGGGCTACTGGCTGAGTCTCCTTTTTATTCCACTTTCTCAATTAAACGATGCTCTTGTGTGGGTATCAGGAAAGGAATAAAAAGATGGTTGGTATGCTGGCTATAATTGCCAAGCACATTTTACCTAAGATATATACTGAAGCTGCACTAAGCAGGCAAACATGCTACTTTTTTACTCTGCCTCTGATTCTATAGCATTGGGGTGAAATAGAAGTCCAACGTCACAAGAAGTTTTTTTTAATGTATATATAATTGCCTTGCTTTCATTAAATATAAATATGTCAGGAATGGTAAAAAGTAGTAAATACAAACTTACTTCACTGTTCAGAAAGCAATATAAGACTGCAACAACCAGACCCTAGAATAAGGAAATACATCAACAATTTAAAACAGAATAATCAACTCTATGAGAGGCAGTGTGACATAGCAGACAGGATGTCAGGCTAGGACTCAGGAGACCTGGGTTCAAATCCCTGCCTGACCATGGAAATTCATACTGAACATCTTACACACCTTGGAAATGTACTAGGGTGACCCTAAGATGGAATCAATGCGGCAGCACGTAATACAATGAAGTACAGAATTGGAAATAATATTAAACTTGGAAACACGTTACCTGAAAAGATCCGAGACATAACTCAAAAATGATCTGGTAGTTACTGGAAATGGAAATAGGAAGTATAGCAAACACCATGTAGTGAACTCCAAACAGTGGAATGAGCAGCAGTGTTGATTTTGCGAGTCTCCTTTAAAGAAACAAAACAAGACAGAAAACATTTGCGTAGGCACAGAATCAGAAGATTACCCTCCCAATTATTTACTTTGCCCTCACAATCCCCAGTCAAAAGTAACATGCAGGGACTTTGCATGATGTTTTCACTCACTTGTAATGACACTGGTCGTTGCCTCCAACATCTGGTGACCTCAGCTTTTGTAGTAAAATTCTCATAATACTAATGAAAAGTAAAAAATTCACCTGCAAAAGAACCAATATGACCATTGATAATTCTAGTTTTCTGTTGCCCAAATAATTCACTACTCAGTTAAGCAGTTATATTTAGAACCAGACAGAAGACCTCCAACAGAGAAATCTTGAACATTTTTATTAAAAAGGAGGGTTTTTTATTAATGAGCTGGTACCGTTTACTGCCTGTAAAATGCAGTAAATACTGTCCTTCCTTCAAAGTCAAAGAGATATATGTAGGTCCCAAGCCAATCAAATCATTTTAACATCTGAGGGGGGGGGGAAGCCCTGGATCATCTCTGCAAGACTGCTACATCCGATATTTGTATTACTGTACAAAACCTATATAATAATAGCGTTGTTGGGCTCTTTCATGATATAAAATGTGTCCTCACTCCCACTTTGACCAACTTTGGTCTGGTAAACCCACAGACGTTTTCTACAACCATCCAGCAAGCTTTATAGCTAAGTGAAGATGGAATTTTTGAAAACTTTCTTTAACATTTTTTAGGGCCAGGGAACATTCCAACTGTAGCACATTTCTCACCAAGAAAACATCTACATCATAATCAATATATTTCAAGGCAGCATCAATATGAGGGTTTTGGACAAAACAAAAAGCCAGTCACAGTTTAACAGAAATTAAATGATTTGCAAGTGAGAATTGTGCATCCCCACAAAATTTGTTAGTGTTTGTTGCTCTCCTCACAAATCAAGCTGCAACATTGTGGGATGAATACGTTCAGCATAATTTTTAAGAGAGAGCAACATTTAGAATAAAAAGTCAATCTTTTTCCCAACTATGTCAGTGGTTCTCAGACTGGCGTTCCCAGATGTTCTTGGACTACAACTCCCAGAAACCTTCACCACTTGATCTGCTGGCCAGGATTTCTGGAAGTTGCAGCCCAAGAACAGCTGGAGACACAAGTCAGAGAACTATTGAACTATGCTACAAATACGATCAGACCAAGACTTTACTGTCTAGCTTTCCCAAACAACATACAAGTTTATCTGTACCATTTCAGACCTTTAGCAGGTACTTAAATCATGAAACCCTATCCCACTGTGAGCAAATATCACCGACAACATCCATCAACAAAGAAAATTAGGATTTTAGGGGGGAAAACTCAGGATGTTTACAGGATGTCTTTATAGGAGCTTACTGAAGAACGAAAATGCTTTCCTTTTTTGTTCAAGTTAAATTTGCCACATCATTTGTTGTTTATGAGTGAAAGTGATGCGCAAGGGCCCTACAACTGGAGATGAGAACTGCTAGTTTTTTGGAATGACAAAAAATCATTGGCCTGCATGGCCAATACTTATGGGTTTGCGTTTAAAAACACAACAAAAAACAACAACAAAAAAAACACAATGTTCCCCACCTCTGCCTGCAATACAGTCCTGAAACGGATGTGAAGAGGGAAATTCTTAACTAATATACATATTTGAATGTCACAGTAGAAGAATGCCACGCTCACTATGTGGGTGATTGGTCTTCATACAGTAACTTAAGCATGAGCTTCCTTTGAAGCCTGATTTTACAAACACAAAAGTACTGCCTTAACCACTTATTTGTAATACTACCATGTTTTCATTTCTAATTGTGAGCTATCTCTGATGGCTGTCCCTCGTTCGTTCCTAATTTTAGCATCCATCTGTCACAGGTAGCCATCACCCAGTTCTGCAGCCCAATCTAGTAGCCTTCTAATGAAGCAAGCCACATGCTTCACTCTTTAGGCCATCTGAGGGGCCAACGAGCACCCGGGGTGGCCATGGTAAAGTAATAATTAGCTTAAGTAAATGGTGAAACAGTGCTCCACTATATAGCCCAATCTAGTAGCCTTCTAATGAAGCATGCCAAATGCTTCACTCTTTAAGCCATCTGAGGGGCCAAAGAGCACCTGGGGTGGCCATGGTAAAGTAATTATTAGCTTGAGTAAATGGTGAAACAGTGCTCCACTACATTTGTAGTGCAGTGGTTAAACCCAAGTACCATATAGTGGTTAAACTGCAATACTGCAGTGAAGCCTCTGCTTATGACCCAAGTACAATACTGGGCTCAGGTAGCCAGCTTGGATGTTGACACAACCTTCCATCCTTCTGAGGTCAGTAAACTGAATAACAAGTTTGCTGGAGGGGACAATGTGTAACCTGCATCATTAAACTGTAAACACTATGGGGCGGTATATAAGCAGCACACTTTATCATCATCGTTATCATTATTAATATTATTCTAGTTATCTTGTGGGGAAAAAGAGGTAATTTAACTAGATGTCTTTCTGTGTAACATATACCGAATTTTTTCTGTGTATAAAACAAACCTTTTAATAAAATAATTAGAGGAAAAATGGAGTGTCGTTTTATACACGGAAGGAGGCAGTCACACGTGTGCTCAGGCACCTCTTGGTGCCATACATGGAAGGAAGCAGTCACATGTGTGCTCAGGCACCTCTTGGTGCATTAACCCAAATGCCTCTTCCAGAGCTCACGGCTTGTCCCGTCTGGTGGCCAAGGCAGCAGCAGCAGCAGGAGGCAGAGATGGAGGCAAAGGAGCATTCACATGTGCTCGGGCGCCTCTTGCTGCTGCCTCCCGGGCCCACCCAATCACCACCTCCAGTGGGACTGATGGGACTCTGCTCACGTCGCTGCCTTGTCCCCTCTGGTGGCAGAGGCAGAGGTGGAGGCAAACAAGCACTCATGCACTCTCGGGAGCCTCTTCCTGCTGCCGCTGCTGCTCAGAGGTGGAGGCAAACAAGCACTCACGCACGCTCGGGAGCCTCTTCTTGCTGCCGCTGCTGGATCACCTCCTCCAGATTGTCTCCTTAGGGCAGGGGACAAGGCGATGAGGTGAGCTGGAGGTGAGCCCCGGCAGTCGCATTGGCGGAGGTGATCGGGCGGGCAGTGGAGACAGCAGCAGCAGGAGCGATGGAGGTGGAGGAGCAGTTGCCCATTAACTGCTCCTCCACCTCCATCAAGGGTCAAAATTAGGGGGTTGTTTTAGACATTGGGAGGCCGTATACATGGAAAAATACGGTACTTGCTATTTATCATTAATCTGAACTTAGGTTTTGCCCTTAAGATTCGTGAAGTAAACAAAACTCATTGATCTGTGAGTAGAAAGGAGGATTTATAGACTCAATGCCTATGGTTTGGGGACAGTCTGGAGTTCTGCTACTTTAGGCAAACTATTTACTTTTACCATTTTTACTGTTATATTTGTTTGATTCTTTTTGAAATATTTGTGTACACACTTTTTGGCTTTTAAATACTGCATTGCCTTTTAATGACGTAAGATGCCCCGGGAGCTTTTTTAAGGAGAACGTCAGGATAAAAATATTTTAAATCTTTTAAATATTGCCTTTTAATGACGTAAGATGCCCCTGGTGCTTTTTTAAGGAGAACGGCAGGATAAAAATATTTTAAAATTGATAAATAAATTCATTTGTGAGTGGCATAACGCAAGTGGGTCATTTTCATGAAATGACAGCTACTGCCAACAGTGTGGTAGCCAGCACAGGAAAACTGTCATTCTGGGTTAGTCGATCCTATGAAGTTATTTTGTAAAGAGGAATTCACTCATATATCTCTATCTAAGTGTTTAGAAACTAAGTTATGTCTGTCTATTTTGAAAAGAATTTCAGAACTGAACCTGGCAGAGATAGGGCTGTTGGATTTCCTTGTTGCTCTTTAGGGGCTTTGTGGAAAGTTAGAACAGTGCTGCCCCTAGTGTTCGGCAGAGTGTAACACAGCTCCCTCAGGCAGGACATACAGGTACGGGGAGGAGATTGGTCTGCCGCGGCGGTGCCACGAAGAGTTAAGAGCAGGATAGTTCCTCTTCATCTTAAGCACTGAGTTTACTTACCAAAATAGAAATTATGATTGGTAATCTTATAACACACCAAGGAACACTGTGATCATTTGTATCCCAGCAACTGTCAGGAAAGGGAGGGAAAAGCACTGTTACCATTATTCCTATCAGGCAAAGCTATAAAAAACAACAACACATTATTTATATACTGCCCAACTGGCAAGTATGTGAAATTATGAATATTAAAAGAACAATACATAGAATCACAAATGAATGCTCAGCAAAAATGCCAAATAAATTAGGAACGGTGGCAGGGAAGAAGGCTAAAATCACTGGAGGGTTGAGGCAGGCAATGCTTTTACATTTTTTTTCTTGGAAAATCAGCACAGAATGAGCCTGCAGCAGCTATGACAGCAGAAATCATGAAAACTTAGGCAACCTCTCCCCTTTTAAACAGGTTCTGTTTACTGGGAAGTTGGGGTTGCCCAACTGTTGCCTCCTTAAACCCCAGTTGCTCCCCTATGAAGCAAAACAAAGACCCATGGGCATGTCCAGCCAACGGTATCAGGGGACACTGCTCAGTTTAATACATCATCCAAGCCAACACACATCTTTGTGTTAAGAAGGGGAGAGAAGGTTGTATTGGTTTGATTTTGCCCAAACAAAATTTGTATAATATTAAAGGTTTAACATTCATTAAAAACACGAATCTATCATTTTCTACTCTCTGCCTGCCCCGATATTAAGGTGTCTCTGGGGTTGGGAATGGGTTCATGATAAATTTTATACTTCTGAGCCTGCTAGCTGTCCATGAATTGGCAACCTTGGACAGAATGCAATCACAAAAGCAGCTCTGTAGTGAAGCATGCAAGCATAAAGTTCGCTCTTCTTTTGTCCCTTACCCTGTATCTTCAAAATAGACCCTGGATATGATCCACATTACAATGAAAACTGTAGGAATTCCTGTGTGGGGAAAAAAGACATAGCAGAGAAAGAAAAAAGAGAATGCTATGAAATACATGACTTAAAAGAAACTCTTGCAATTATCCCATTAAAAATCCATAATAGACCAAACAATGCAAGAACTAACTGTAAAGAAAGCACTAACCAACCACACTAAGATGAAACATGCATTTCCAGTTTCTCAGGGGTAAACCAGATGGTTTTTTTCCCCAGGCAGGTCTGCCAGATGTTACTTGGAGAAAACTAGTTGGGCAAGGAGATAAAGGGAAGTGATGGGTCAAGATTAGAGATCGGCATGAATTGCTGGTTCGGCAGTTTGTGCATTTAGCACCTGCCTTTTGGAGCTTCCTAGCTCTGCCTCCTCCAGCAGGAGCCCACTCAGAGGCAGCATCCCAGTGCTGAGTGTGTGCTTGCCAGAGGAGGCAGGGCTGGGAAGTGTTCAGACACTAAATGAACTGGCACGAACCACCGAACCAGAGGTTCATGACCATCTCTAGTAAGGATGGGAATAAGCATTTTCTTCCTGCTCCATCCTTCTCATTGCAAGAACTTTGGAAGCTTCTATGAGAAAAAATACCGTATTTTTCAGTGTATAAGTGGGGCTTAGCAAATGTAGGGGGAAAGGGATCAAAGCACTGCAGGATCGCTTTGATCCCTGCTTTCCCCTCCACTTGTTTTTGTTTTCTCCTCAGCTTACTTCCGTGTATAAGACAACCCTCAATTTTTAATCTAAAGATTTTAGACAAAAGTATAGTCTTATACATGGAAAAATACGGTATATGTTTTGTTCTGTGTGAGGTTATTTTTATATTATTATTATAAAATAACCTCCTTACATAAGGAGGTTATTTTATTTTATTCTATTTTATTTATATGCTATCTTTCTCCCAATTATTGGACCCAAGTTGGATAACAAATTATCAAGAGTTAACGACACCTAAGATAGCTGTTTCATCTTGAACAAGTAAATTAGCAAGCTCTCTTCACATTCCTAGAAGATTCCTATTAAGGACTCTGAATTTTCGTCCATCTTGCTTAGTACTGTGCCCCCAAACCATTAGCAGCTTTCCAAGGTTTCAGGCTGAGGCTTTTCCCAGCCCTGCTGCGCAAACTCTTCCAAGGAGATACGTCTGAACTTTCTTCATGTAAAAACTTGTGATCTAACAGTATTTATTTAAAGTATTTTTACCTCATCTTTCTCCTTAAAAGGGCCCAAGGTAGTTTGTATGACATTGAGGTATGACTCCCTCAACATTTATTTCCAGAATAATAGCCAGAAAAGTTACTTCTTTAGACTACAGGTTATTTCTTTAGACTACAGTTCCCAGAATATCCCAGGTAGCATGTTGGCTGGGGCATCCTGGGAATTGTAGTCTCAAAAAATAACTTTTCTAAGTTCTGACAAAGGCTCACTATGGGTAGTGATTCAACTCTCTTTCAGATTCTCTCCTTCTCAGAAAGTCTCCAGCTTGCCTTTGGGTTTCTGGTAGGGGTAGTCCGTGGCAGATCGTTTATGAGCTGAACAGGTGCTTAGCATTTCAAAGCTCTGCCTCCTCCAGCAGGGCTCCAGCTTGCCTTTGGGTTTCTGGTAGGGATAGTCCGTGTCAGATCGTTTATGAGCTGAACAGGTGCTCAGCGTTTCAAATCTCTGCCTCCTCCAGCAGGTACCCACTTGGAGGCAGCAGCCTGGCTTCTCTGCCCCGCCTCCTCCAGGTGCTGCCTCTGAGTAGGTGCTTGCTGGAGAAGGCAGGACTTTCAAGTCCCAAACTGTTCAGCTGATAACCCCCCCCTCCTGACACAAACTGCCAAACCAGTAGTTTGTGCCCATTTCTAGTTTATAGGCTAACTTGGGGATTCTGCACCCCATCCCTAGGACAATGGTTCCCAACATTGGGTCCCCAGATATTCATGGACTAAAACCCCCATAAGCCTTCATGATCAGTGGTGCTGGCTAGGATTTCTGGGAGTTGTAGTTCAAGAATATCTGAGAACCCATGGCTGAGAGGCACTGCTGTAGGGTAATAAACTAAGTGTGGGAAGGTAAGCCAAGAACACCCAAGTCTGGAAATTCTTAGCATTCTTACCCAATCCTTTTGGAATCTAAGTCAGACCTGAATACTGTCACCCATCAAAATAACTTCCAAGCTCTGATATGATCCACAGGGGGTCACCACCTTTCCACTTTTTTTGCTACCTGTATAGAACTGCAGAAATAATACATTTAACGTGTGTTTAATGTATTGGATTTCATGTTGTGGACATCTGATTTGGGGCTACCATACAAGGTAGCCAAACTCTGGGAGGCAGTGGAAGACAGGAGGGCCTGACGTGCTCTGGTCCATGGGGGTCACGAAGAGTCGGACACGACTTAATGACTAAACAACAACATACAAGGACCCAGTATAGTATAGTAGTGAAAATGAGAAAAAAAACAACAAGATTGTATAGATGTTCTTACCCCATCCCATAAGGAGATATAAGGTGAAGTGTCTGTTAGGAGAAAATATGACCATGAGGAGGATGTGGAGATAAAGTCCTTCAACTAAGAGCCAATAAAAGTTGGCCATTACAGAGTAATGGAAAAATATCATGCTAGCCTTGCAGCCGACCTAGAAAGTTACAAACCAAGGATGAAACATTTGTGCAAAGGAATGACTGTAACACAGTAAATGGCTTCCTTTGTTGAAAACCCTTTTTGATAGATACAAGCTCTGACATAAGAGACTTTCCCTGCCATGAACTTTTCTCCTGGAAGCTTGAATGGCCTCTTTCTATTGTTCAGACCGATTTCAAAATATAACTTTTTAAAATAATGAATAGGAACAACTTACAAATGCTTCTCTAAACTAGGTCCAAGGATGTTGTATTTGCTAGATGTCTGTCCTCCTAAAACTATTGTGTGTGTGTGTAAAGTATTTATTTCTTACCAAATCACTGTCTTTTCCCCTCTTGCTTTTCAACGCCAAACATTCCAGGGGGAAAATTAGCACCATCAGTGAGGTTAAGATGGAGCAGGGAGATTATATTCAGGACCACCAGTTAACCAGAAGTAATTTATTTTACAGAACATGGATCATAATTTTTTTTAAAAAAGCTAGTTTATTCTATAACAGCTGTGCCAACAGCAAAAAATAGCGCTGTCGAATGTGTAACGCCAAGGAGAAGCTCACAGTGCTTCCTAACTGTTATGTAACTAAATGGTGATATGCAGAAGCAGCAGAAGCAATTCTTTCCTGCAGATATTACATCACCTGGATAACTCTGAAGCATCTTGATTTACATCATTGCAACCGCACTGATGCCAGCTGTTTCGCTCTTTGCACGGATAGACAGAAAGAGCATGTCCTAGATCAGCCGGACAGAACAAAAATAAATATAGTCCTTCCAACCTGAATTTGCAACCCCAAAACTGCATACAGTGGGGTCTCTACTTAAGAACTTAATCCGTATTGGAAGGTGGTTCTCAAGTTGAAAAGTTCTTATGTTGAATCCGCATTTCCCATAGGAATGCATTGAAAACCATTTAATCCGTATCTGCTCTTTTCCGTCCATAGAAACTACAGTGGAACCTCTACTTAAGAACTTAATCCGTTTTGGAATGGTGTTCTTAAGTTGAAACGTTCTTAAGTTGAAGCAAAAGTAATTTATTTTACAGAACATGGATCATAATTTTTTTTAAAAAAGCTAGTTTATTCTATAACAGCTGTGCCAACAGCAAAAAATAGCTCTGTGGAATGTGTAACGCCAAGGAGAAGCTCAAAGTGCTTCCTAACTGTTATGTAACTAAATGGGGATATGCAGAAGCAGCAGAAGCAATTCTTTCCTGCAGATATTACATCACCTGGATAACCCTGAAGCATTTTGATTTACATCAGTGTAACCGCACTGATGCCAGCTGTTTCGATCTTTGGACGGATAGACAGAAAGAGCATGTCCTAGATCAGCCAGACAGAACAAAAATAAATATAGTCCTTCCCACCTGAATTTGCAACCCCAAAACTGCATAGTGACAAAGGACATCTGTTCTCTATGGCAGTTCTCTGTCACTGAGAATTTTTCTGGGAGGATTATGAGTCTATCCATTACAAAATTACTCTGTTCACTGGCTAAGGTGAATAGAGTAGAATCTTCAATGCTGGAGAAATGAAAACATCCTCAAATCAGAGAGTTCCATAGTATCAGTTACGTACAGAAAGTGACATGCTGCAAGTGATGCCATGTTAATACTGTCAGACCACTGGCTCCTTTAATTCAGACACCCCCATCTCTGCGCATCCTCCTCTGCAATGCTACATGGGATTTATTTTGCAGGAGACAGCAGACGTGCCTGCATTCACCAAGTCATGCTCACAAGTACCCCAACTACAGTCTAGTTCTCTCTCTCTCCCCCCCTTTAATACTGTCAGACCACTGGCTCCTTCAATTCAGACACCCCCATCTCTGCGGATCCTCCTCTGCAATGCTACATGGGATTTATTTTGCAGGAGACAGCAGACGTGCCTGCATTCACCAAGTCATGCTCACAAATACCCCAACTACAGTCTAGTTCTCTCTCTCCCCCCCCTTCCTGTGTCTGTAGATATGCGTGGACATCCCTCTGTCGTAAACAGAGATTATTTCCAATTACGCGTGCTTAGAAACGTGGCCTTTATTTCGCAACAGAATGGTAATAGGCAGACATTCTAAATTCTGCTCATACATCTTCATAGAGTTATTTCATGAATATACAAGTAAGTGTCAGAGTTCATCTTTCATGCCCCGAAGGCCTTTGCCAAACCATGTTGTATATTTACGATAGACGGTGAAATTCAGAAAGCGCATCACAATTGTACTGACCGTCCAAACTCTTTGACAGAATTGTGATGAAGACTGAACGCCCGTCCAGGGTACGGAGCGTTTTCATCCTGGCTGATGCCTCACCCCCCTCACCCAGTCGTACTCCAGCTAGCTAGGCGCCCCAATGAATGAACTCTCAGAGCTGTGAAAGCCACCGACACCATGAGGCATTCTGTAACGATGCCTGGGGCCAGCCTCCTCATCTCCCATACTCTGCTGCCAGGTTACAAACAAGTCCTTGTGATAAGTCAGTGGGCCCTCGCTTATGCTGACATGTGATATGATAGGTCATCATTATTTCAGTGAAGAAACGGATTCGCCCAAAGCTGCAGAATGAGTATATGGTCAAAGAGAAAGCTGAACATGTGTCTTCTAGATCCCATTTCAAGTTCTGTCTTCTTATAGTCCCCTTCCTCCCCTTTCATTTTAACATTCCAGAAACCCTGAGTGCCTGGTTATAGTTGTCATGATGTTCTGAGGCCTGGTCTATCATTTGGCATGAATCAGAAATCTAATCTTATGTGTGCTGAATCCTAACGGGTTCAGATTAGAGATGGGGGTATTTGTATTTGTATATCCCCCCACAGGTGCAGATAACGAGGGTCTGGTCCCCTGTTGCCAGACTGACCATTCCCCATTCCCGCCACTGCTGCAGGCTCCTTGCTCCGTTGCTGGCGATGGATCAGCCACTCCTGGCAGAAGGCTCGTCTGCCAGGTCACAGAGTGGCCAATCCATCGCCAGCAATGGAGTGTTAGAAAGGCACTGTGGAGCTTGCGGCAGTGGTGGAATCGTGAGTCGTTGGTCTGGTCCCTGTGGCCAAGACCTTCGTTATCTGCACCTATGGGGGAATATTCGTATTCATATACGAATATTCGTATGCATATACGAATATCCCATCTCTAGTTCAGATCTTTGGCTGCTTGCCTTCTTCTACCAGCTCGCTAGACATCTCTCCTTCCTGTGTCCACCTTAGAGCCTCAATATCTCAAGGCCAAATCAGTCTTTATGCAATGTGTCTACTACCCACATAACGAGTTGTATCCCAAACCATCTGTCCACCAGCAGAACCGAAACTGGTGGCAGAATGGATTTTGCTTCCTTTCCAGCACCCTTCAAATCTGAATCAGGTTTTGGGGGTGTGGGGGTTCAGGATGGAGGACAGCACAATAAGAAAGCAAATCTGCCGCCGGATGGAGCACAAGGTTTCCCTGTCCTCTATCACAGCAAAAAGTATAGCAAACACAAAAAGTACATAGCAATATCACTGCATTCACCTACCCAGGATGGATGGTCTTTAGAGCACTTATCTGTGTTAGGGTTGGAATAAAGGATATCATCCTTAATTAAGACAGAGATTGCTTTAAGGATGAAAGACAGGAACAAGTTCAAATGTATGTAGTTCCGAGTGCAATGAAGTTTCCTACAAATGGTAAAAGAGACACTGTCATTTCTGAAACAAAAGGGCATCTGAAGATTCTTCTAGTTTATTTATTTATTTGCACTTTGCAAGAGTCTCCGTGAATTACTCAGTTAATCTTAGTTTGTCTCCTAAACAGTCAAGGCATCCTGAGATTCCCTCTTCCAATGGCCCTTGAGATCTTTTTGCAAAGACTGCAACACTTCTCTGTCTCTCCTGCAAATCCTGAGTGGTGTTGGAAGATAACAGGATAAAAGGCTAAAAGTCAAAGGACTTTGAACAAATCAGTAGTTATGTACACGCTCACCACTTCTGCATGATGAGATGTTTCAAAGGTATGGTTGACTTGTTACTTAGTATAGAGAGTTCCACTTGAATAAAGTATTAGAGCTCTATGGAATTTGGGTGGAATTTTATTTGTCAAGACCCAACTGGTAATTGTGCAAATTAAACTTCACAACTTCCTATAGCAGATTGCCACTAATTAACAAGATGCAAGTCATATCACTGGACATACATCTTTTGGGCAGGCACCTTGTAATGTGTACTTGTTAGTTAACGGTAATTCACTGTGCTGAATTATGAAAATGTAACATACACACCTGCAAACTGACCAATGTGTAAAATCTATTATTTATTTACACTCACACATTTAAAGGGTGTATCTATCCTAGCAGAATAACACTATTTTACCCATTATGGCTTCAATATTAGAGAATTCAGCTTCTCTTGCACAAAATTCTAAGTCCTTTACTAAACTACAAATCTCAGAATCCTGGGGATGGCACTATGACAATTAAATTAGCCTCAAAATGCTGTGTAATGTAGACACACTCGTATAAGGTGAAAGGAGATGAGGATTTCATTCTAATATCTGCTACTTCTCAATTGGGGTTTGAGATGTCTGTTGCCCTCTTAACATCTTTCCAGAGTTGTAAAACCAACGTCTTCTTACTATGTTCAACTACTAACAGTTGCTCACAATTTACACAGACGAATTAGCACATTCATCAGGGAAGAAGAATATGAAGGAGAGGTATTCTTTCTGATACTCCTGATCATTAAGAGACACAAGTGCAACTCCAGCCCCTAGAAAAAGAGGAGGAGAATGTGGTGTCCCTCCAAAGGAAAGCTTACACTTAAATAAAAAGAAAAAAGGGATGATGAAAAGGACCAGGAGGTACTGCAGTTTCATTTCCTAACACCCATTAATAAGTTCACATCTAAACTTCAGTGCTCTCCAAATGATGATGCCCTAGTGAACAGCCCAACTGTAGTTATAGCTCTGCATGCCATTATATTCATGCTCCTTAACAGTTATTTTCTTTGTTTTGCCTGAAAAGTCATCTTGATCTCCATCCCCATCTCATAACATTATTGTTGACCAGGTGAATTATTGAGAAGACAATCACATATGCGTGAGGCTAACAGAAGGAGATAGCAGTGGCAGTGAGTCATCACTGACCTTGGCTCCAGGTTCAGCTGAGATCCCACTCCCTCCAGCACTTTTGAGGTCACCAGAGGGACAGGAAGCATCAGCCCCTTCTATATTAGGTTTAGCTCCAGCTCCACAACCTGTTCATTTCTTACCTGAAGGGCTTTTCCAGAGAGGGAAGGAAATCAACTGAGAAACTATACTCGGGAAGCAAGGCTGTGAGAGATGCCTTCAGACTATAACGGCCCTCAGCCCTAGTCAGCATAACCAATGGTGAGTACTGTTGGGAGCTTTACTCCCAACAACATCTGAAGGACCACATTTTACACAGCCCTAATGTAGGATAATTGCATAGAACCGGGGCAGGGACAGACAGCAACTGTGATCTGTCATCACTAGTTTTTATTCCCACTATTACTATTCCCACTGATTTGATTTTAGCTTTATATTTACTTGACTGCATGTTATAAGCTAATGGGGAGGTTTTCAATAAATTCCATTTGCTCTCTTTATTTGACATGTTCTTCTTTGATCAATATTGCAAAGCACACAATGTCCCATCTTCCTTTTAGGAAAACTCACCTGAAAAGGCAGAGAATGATGCTGCCTGTAGTGAGGGCAATGAGAGATGCGCTGTGCCCGAAGGTGTAAATCGCTTTCACCAGAACATAGAACATCTACAAAGAAAACATTTCCATTTGTCAGCTATCATAAGAGGTCATGAATAAAACATTTGCTAGCAGGGCATTATTTTAATCAATGCTCTGAAATTAGACACAGAATGACATCTGCACTTCCCATATGCAGGCTTAAGTGTCCCTCCACTCTCTAATACATGATATACAGACAACACTCTTTTAAATTACTATTATGATGGTAAACAAAAAAGAATGTTCCTGAAGTAGATACAACTTGGATGTTTGCTCCAAGATATCTTCCAGTGGTCTAGGCATATATTTTCAACCAACATTATTATGGTATTGTGCATTAATGATCGTGAGTTGGAACTGTGGTCAGTATTTTTTTTTCTGCCACTTTGAGCATCTGTTGAAGGATTTAGTTTTCTCTTCAGGCTGTGAAAGCAAAAAGCATAAGCCAGTGACTCTTCCTCCACTTCCTTCTTCCTGCTCTCTGATATTTTCTTAACACTGGCCCAGTCGTTCTCCTTGCCTCAAAGTCAACTGTCTCCTGCTAGTAAAATTCATGGATGAACCACATGTCATGCAACCCCACTCGCTTACCAGCAACAGCACAGTGGAGCTAGACCTTGTGGTGGCGAAGCCCTGGGAGTTTTTCAGTAGCGGGAATAATGAGATTACAGTGGGGTCTCGACTTATGAACTTAATCCGTATTGGAAGGCAGTTCTCAGGTCGAAAAGTTCATAAATTGAATCTTCATTTCCCATAGGAATGCACTGAAAACCATTTAATCCGTATCTGCTCTTTTCATCCATAGAAACTAATGGGAAGCTGCTGGTGGCGAAGCCCTGGGAGTTTTTCAGTAAGCGGGAATGATGAGATTACTTGCCCCTGCTCTCTTGCCACCCGCTCCCCCACAAACTCAGGCTTCTCTGCTCCCTCTGGACGTAACCGTAATCTCAACAGTAACTGGTAAGAAATGAATTTCCCCGGGAATAGCATATTGTTGCAAGCTTTTCCTTTATAGAAACTAATGGGAAGCTGCTATTCCGCCTTCTGCCACTAGAGGGGGATATTTTTTCTTTTTTCCTTTTAACCTAAGATACTTAGCTTTTAAAAAAAGGAAAAAAAGTTTGTAACTCGAATCTAAGTTCGCAAGTCGAGTCCATATATTCCTATGAGAGCGGTTCGTAAGTCGAAACGTTCGTATGTCGAGCCGTTCGTAAGTTGAGACCCCACTGTACTTGCCCCTGCTCTCTCGCCACCCACTCCCCCACAAACTCAGGATTCTCTGCTCCCTCTGGACATAACCATAATCTCAACAGTAACTGGTAAGAAATGAATTTCCCCGGGAATAGCATATTGTTGCAAGCTTTTCCTTTTGTAACATGGTACAAAAGTCCCAACCACAAAAGGGTGGTTTGGTCTTTAACAGCAATTAAGGACCATAAACTTTATAAAAGACCTGTTCCTCAGTGCCTACATTTCTGGCATCTCCAGCAGGGAGGGTGGAGGACTGGCTATGAGGACTGATGTGATGAGCACCGCCACTTCCAAATTTAGTATTACACTGCTGCTCACCAAGAAGAGCAGTACTGCTCTCTTTCACTTTCTATCTCTCATCCTGATTAGGCATCCTTCAGAGACTATGGTATTGTGCTCTGTATGGAGGACTCCGAAAAGCGTCTAGTGTGGCTGAGGAGGCCAATTCGAGAGTGACAATCCCTTCCACACTGGAGACAAATCCAATCTGTCCCGTCCAGCTCCCTGATTTTGCTGCTTTCGGGACTCCCTCTTTGCCTTGGCCTGCTGGACAAGGTCTCTTCAAATTGGGACAGGCATGTCCCACTTATCTCCCCCTACGTTGAATTTTCACATCACGTCAGGTAATTCTCATGATTCATGAGCTTCATGACTAAAGGTAGAAAGATTAAAAAATCCGGCAGTGCCATGGCATGGGCTAAATGATCTGAATATTTAAGAATGTCGTACCCCTATATGGGTTATAAATTCATCAGGATAGAAATCCATCTTTTGTTCCTAAAACATCTTGTAAGCTCATGGCAAAGGAAGGCAGTAGGATCCCAAACGTTTTCATGAAAAATGGCAAGACATTCTGTAATTGTTGTTTGGCAGTGAGATCACAAACAGATGTTGACATGATCGTTCTATGGCCACGGTGTTGTTCCTGTGACATTTGAAGGGATCAGAACTCATCGGCAGGATCAATTTCACATGGCCCCAACACTGTTGGACCTGGCTGCTTTTCAAGGAAGCAAAGAAGCTACTTTCTGGGGATGTTTCAGCTTATTGACACTGAGTTAACGAAGTGTAGTTACTGTGGTTTAGTCACTGGTGTGAAATGATCAAATAGCCAAGGAAATGCAATGGCTGCAACTCTGGGCATTACTCTGTTCCTCCGTATATGGGTTCTTTCATATAATTGGCACTTACTGATCTGGAAGCTATTCTCAGCTGTTCAATACACTGTGGCCAATATACCTTTATTTTTAACTGCCAAACTTTTGCTTTAAAGATTATCTAATCAGAAAATGAGAGAATCTACTCCGATTTCTATTAAAACACTTGCTGGCTATGATATGCTAAAGTGAGCTTGCTCAGGTTTTGTTTGATACTGTGCTCTTTCCACTTCAAAGCATATTTCTCATTTCAGTTTAACACAACAAAGAAGTTGCTAGGCAAAAGGCTAATTTGCTGCTGTTGGGGTGTGTGTCATGAAGCCTTTTGTAATCTGCCAGATGTTAACATTTTCCTTTCTGAAATAAATTGTCAAGTTTGAGGTTCAGAACACCAAGAACGGTCTGTTGGGTCAGAACAGACGTTGACTCCAACTCCTGCATCCCAGAAGCATATCAGCAAGACTTAACCAAGAACTTTCATTCCTCAAAAGATGGATGAACTACTATTCCCATTGTCCCCATCTACTATTCAGCTGTGTAGGAATGATGAGATGTTCAACAACATCTAGAAGGCTACAAGATTCCTACCAAGGTAACTGCAGTTCCCTGGACATTCATCCTCAGATAGCACTACAGTTCCACTAAACTTTCTATAGAACTATTGTGGCTATCAGCCATCATTAGAACAGTTTTCTTTCAAAGCCACCGAAACCGTAAACCATCACCACATTTTATGTCAGTGAAGCCCATGAATTAATCATGCACTGCATGAAGAATTTTCTCTGTCTGCCAGAAATTTACTGTCAAGTTTACTAGACAAACTCAAGTTATTAATATATTCAACATTAGTATGGTGGATGATTGTTATCTACCATATATCAGTGTTTTGTCTTTTAACAGAAAGCAAAGCTGTGTGATTTACAGAAAGCAAATATACTCTTAGTGTAGATGCACACCTGTCTCCCTCTAGAGTTTGTAACACAAGCTTTTTTACCCACACCTGTCTAAGGAAGTACAAAGTGGTACCTCCATTTTTTGCTTATTATGTAGTAGAAATACTTCATGGTCTGTGCTTAGGGGTTGGAAGGATTAATCATTGAACTCTTTGTTTTCATTAATTTAGACTCCTTTGATCCAACCAAAAAAAAAATTCAATGAGGAACTTTAAAGCTCTTTAAAACTAATTCCTCTTTTTTACACCTTTAAGCTCTCTGTAAATTGTGTGGTTTGTATTATTTCCCTTCAGAAAGCAAAAGGTATCGGTGGAGGGGAGCACTTGTGTATGTATGTATTGAGTTTTTTATTTGTTAGTTTTATATTTTTGTGTATTTTAGAGTCAATAAAAAGAAATTTAAAAAGGAAGCAAAGTACACAGAAATGCACCAAGTGTAGAGGGACTAGCTGATTGGTAACAAAAAATGTGAACAACCTATCTAGTGCTTCAGATTATCAAATATAAAAGCAATCAACCTAGTTTTGGCCAATCTATGCAACTTGTGAGGACTTATATCCCAGGATGTGCAGACTGCAGAACGTGAGTGAATTTTATATGTTGCATTTCACAGGCATGTGTTTTGTTGACTTCCAAGATTTGGGTCCCAGCAGCTTCTCAATGTTGCTGCTTTCTGTAGCTAGCACAACTCTTAATTTCTCACATTTCTTAGCTAAGATAATAGCAACGTAGTGTCTTCGTTATGAAGTAATAGTAAGCACTTCCCACCTGTGCTGAATATTTTGGGTTGGAAAAAAGTTACTATCCCTTTGTAAGATTTCACAAATATACTGTATATATTTATACACACAAATATACATTATGTGTGTGTGTGTATACATAAGTATATCCTATTGGTAGTCCTAACCAGAGTAGACCTGTTGAATCCCAGAGATGTGCATATTGTGACTTACCATTCAACTGATTCAATGGGTCTACCCGTAAGAGACTGCCAATAAGTTTCTGGCTACAATATTTAAATATTTATTTATTGGGTGAGGAGGAATAGGGAATGGGATTTAAGAAGGCTAAAAAGTAAGACTGGTTAAAATAAATAAATTAATTAAAAGACAAAACAAATTCAAACATTAAAACAATTACATTAAAGACACAATTTTGCAAGATATCAATTAAGATCCTAGAACACCCATCTGGCAAAAGAATACTCTTCCTTAGCAACCAGCTGTAAAAGCCTACCTAAATAACAAGGATAAGGACTGATGGCAGAAGGACAAGTAAGAGGGGGACAGCTTAGTCTCCTCGGCAGGGAGTTCCCAAGGCTGGGAGCTGCCACCAACCCCACTCTCTTGTGCCCTCATTAGACGGTGGGACAGACAGATGGGACATCCACCAAAGATTTCAAAGCCACACATGCACACATGGCAATGTATAGTCTTTCAGACAGCTGGAATGCAAGTCTTCTGCAGCTTTATAGCTCACAATAATTTGATTATTACAAGACAATTTTCTTGTCTGGCCAACTGACATTTGTTTATATTTTAAAAAAGAAAAATAATGAGCTGGTACCATGAACTTGAAGTGCACTCATGTTTATTTTCTATTGTTTTTCCTAACTATACCTCATGTATGCCTTTTGTAACATCATAATTTATTGCCTGCTTCATCAGTTCTTCAAGTTAACCTTGATTCGTTTCTTGAGAATGCTTATTGTATTATTTCATTACTATTATTTTATATCTTTAATGCTTGTTTATATGCACTTACATGACATGCCACATACTGGTTTTTAAGATTGGTTTAATCTATGCTTTTGTGTACAGCCTGACTGGCTACAAAGCAATAAATTATTCGTAATGTGAATTCTTTAAAAAGTGATCAGGTCAAAAAAGTTGAAATGAAAATGTCCAAAGTATCACATGATGCAAGTGGACTAAAAATAGGGTTCTCTTATGTAACCCCCCTTTTGTGAGGGTATCCAGTTGAAACCTAGGCAGCTCCTGACAGTTAAATTGGATTGTTTATGTCATCCACACATGGCTATGTCTGGAACATCTCCTAATAAAGTTACTGAGGTATGGGCCAATCTATATGAACCAGATGGAGATATTAGGAAGCAGATGTTTGCATTCATAGGACACCCTGCTTGAGGTACATTGGAGGATAATTCAAAATAACAATAAAACAGCAAATGTGAAGGATATAAACTACATGCTGGGCCAAAGACAGCAATGGCCTCCCTTTTCTACCACTGCGAAGCATGTAGCATGATGCTATCTTTTGGACACACACCCAGGACAGTTGTGTGGCTGTTATGCATGCTAACATTTCCGCAATATCTCCACAATACCTCAAGTATTGCTGAACAGCAGGCACCTCTGGCCAGCCTGGCTACATGGCCCATGTGGTGAAGACTCTTGGGCAGACCTTATCCCCCAATAGGCCTGCAATGCCAAATCTAACCCTCTCATTCATCTGCCTTTCATATCCTAAGCCTATATGCCCGTCTTGCAAAGCAGTGGCTTCCTAACCTGCATGCTCAGTCAGGCAGAGGCTCATGGCTGCCTCTTTATACACCCTGGCTGCATGACACTGACCTATCAATGAGAAAGGGCACAATCCACTTAGAGGTTCTTCTCCATTACTTTAAAATGCATGGAAACTACCATGCTATTGTCAGCAGTTCTTACCAGGGATGTGAGGGAAGCTCATTATATCTTTCAACAGGTTGAGACAACCTGCCAAGCATGTGTTGACCTATCATGGGATTCCTCACATCCAGCAAGAGAACAAGACGAATTGGCGAATTTCCTACCTTTAGCCTGTGTCTACAGAATTAGTGCCTTTTTCATTTGGTGACTGCCAAGCATACACACGGAAAGTGAAGACGGTCTGGTTGTTGGATCCCTAAAAGGGACTCAAATAGCCTGTCAAATGCTTCTATTCTTTAAATATCCATGAAAAAAAAAATAGAGGAATCAGGATGCCCAATGTGCACAAAAAGGTCACAAATGCACGAATTTGCACTGAAGGAGCAAATTTGCACCCAAGGCGGGGGGGAACGCAACCCTAAGACACAACTCCACTTTCTCACAGGATAGGAAAAAGATGTACGTTCTTTCTTGAATAAGGATATTTATCTTGAGTCCTTAAGTCCTTATTCATGTCTATCTATCCTTTTCAGGAGAAACTTCTTTTGAATTGAACTGCAATTCACTACAGCAGCAGCTCTGCACACAATAATATAATCTGATGCGCAACACGCAAAAGGCAGAAAACCTCCCACAGAGCAAGAACTATTCTGATAACTTTCATATCTCAGAAGAATATATATAGATAAACTGCCTTCCAGCTGGAAAACCCAAAATGTTTCCATTCTGTTTCCTTGAGAACTTTATATTGTTTAGTTTTTCAAAATCCCTTAATTAAAGAAACCCACATGAGATTCTTTTTATAAAGGCTCTCTCTCTGTGTGTGTAATTAGAATGTAGCTGTTCTTTAAAAGGGAAGAAAAGGCCTGCAGCTGCTATATACATATGCAAGATGCGCAAATATGGCTCTACAGATCAAAATGAGAAAGACCAGAAGTGACCTAATTATAGCCAAAACTCATAAGAAGAAACATAGCTGAAATTTCTGCCCAAAGGTCACTTTCGAAAGATATATTGAGCAAAGCATCACAGATATGTGATATATGGGTAGGTCGCAAGCCTCCAGACTGGGGATACAAAGCTGTCTTATCATCATTCTGCACATTTTACAGAATGAGGGAACAGACTGTCAAGGTAGGAATATACTGAGAGAAAATATTTTGCAATGCTCCTGTATGTTAACGTAACAACAACTAGAGGTCTGCAGGTTTAGGCTTTTGGACTACAACGCCCACCTTTTATTTATTTATTTTTTGCTAAGGCACCCTAGGGCTGTCAGCTGTCGTGAGGCGGAAGACTGAAGCAATGGAGGCCCCCCCCCGAAACACCTGAAAGCCTAGGGTCCCGGCCATGGATTAATGTGGCATCTCCACAGCCTCCTCCATAAGCTGCTGATTAAGAAATAAAAGGTAGGTGGCACAACATGCCAACTGGGCTTAAGCTAGAAGCTGGCTTCTCCTCTTAGGCATTGTCAGGTCCTTCAGGAGCCAAGGCTGATGGAGTGGATATCCAGAGAAATTGCCTGGACAAAAATGGCACTGGTGATTTCTCTGGAGGCACCACTCATCTCTGCCTTACCTGGGAGAGCAGGAAAGAACAAGGGGGGTCTAGTTTCAGCTTGTTGCCTTTCTTTCTCCATCAGTGGAACTGAATAAAGGTTGCGGAGCTGCTGCTACTAATCATAGAGCGTGTTGCACACCCGAATTTCAGGCACTTGGAACAGTATGAGGTAGATGACCAGTGACAGACCTCCCAAGTAAAGGTTATTTACCTCCTGTAACACTCTGCCACCTGAGATCACAACGGCTTCAACACGGCTTCACTATTGCGATTGTAATTCTGAACAATAACTTTGGCCATCTTACCGAGCTGTCTTCAACTTCTTTGTATCCACAAGCAAGGTAGACATGTGGAAATGTCTCCGACCAGCCATTACGTGTACAATTTCTGCTAATATTTCCTGGGGGTAAAAGAAGAAGAAAGAGGAGAAAAAATCAGTTTTTCCTCACCAAAGTCTTTCCTTTTTTAAAAAAAATTTAAGTCACCACAACTCGTATTCTGGGTACTGGTTTCCACCAGTTTCCAACATCCCTGGACCACCAAAAGATTAATGGTTGCAAATGACTGGATTTGTAGTTCGATACAGCTGGGTGATCCTTCATTTGGAGAAGGCTGCAGCAAAAAGCTAGTCCTAAAGAGGAGGGCCAGGATCTGCTCTCAGTTATGCCAGAATTCAGGACACGTAATGATGGGCTCAAGCCAGATTTAGGCTTAATATTAGGGAAAACGTCTTAATTGTTAGAGCAGTACAAAAATGGAATCAATTACCTCAGGAGATGGTGAGTAATCCAGCACTGGAGGCATTCAAGAAAAAAGTGGACCATCATCTGTCAAATCTGCTTTGATCCAGATTCCTGCATTGAGCAGGGAGATGGACTTGATGGCCTTAAAAACTCCTTCCAACTCAATTATTCTGAGTCCATGATTTTACATCTATTCACAGTATTGTCCTAAAAGTTATTCTAACTCCAGAAAAGTATTATAACTTCTAAAAACACTAGATATTTATCCAAGTCACTACGGATAGTTCATCTCCAGCTGTCCAGAAAGACCTATGAAGCATCATTAAAAATCACTTGAAAAGTGTGTTATTATCTTCAAGTCTTTCAGAAGACTAATTGGGGACTATAAGTGTGTTTGATATGAGAATAACATGAATGAAATTGTCTTTATAAAATCCTCTCATTACTCTACAACGTTGTTTAAAGTGATACTGAATGATCTGTGGCAGAGTTATTAAAACTATGAAGACTGGTAGCCACAAACAGCAACCGAGAGGAATCCACGTACCTCTGACACATCACAAATTCCAAATCTGTTTGTAATGAATTTCTAAAAGCTTTTGTGCAATCAAGGATGACCAGCAGGAGAGAAGACAATGAGGAATTGAAGAGCTTTTCTACCAGCCTTTCAGAACAGATAAGGAAATTATTGCCTATTACTGAAATAGGCATCTGCTAATTGTGTAGTGCCTTCACAAGCTGATATATCTTTATTATGACATTCTGGGGGGAAAAAACCCTGTTGGGTCCACATTTAATTCCATGGGTTGCAAATCAGAAAAATCTCGTATGATCAATGGGCTTGGTCAGACAGTACTTGTCTTTTGCATGGAGTGGGGAGCAAGAGAACAATTTTCTCTCCTCCTCCTGCGCCTAATCATCATCTTAAGAACTGCAGAGCTGGAAGGGCGCCTATGGATCCCTGAGACCATCCCTTGTCAAGGAGATGTAAAGGGGAACTAAACTCCCAACTTCTGGTCTGGAAGCACTAAGCTATCCAGCAGGTTATAGGCATACCTGTTCTGCTTCAGATGTCAAGCTTGGAAATCAGTACATTTACGAGCTTGCAATCTAATCTGAACAGCAGTAAAAGGGCACATGAAATGCAAAAATCTGAAAAATGCCACCAAGCATCTTTATCCTCTAATGGGATAAAAATGCATCTATTTGGGGAAAATTTCACATATGCACATACAAATATCCATGCGTATTAAAAAACACACCCTTGCAATCCAATATGGATCCGAGAACAACTTGCTGTTGCTTAGTCGTTAAGTCATGTCCGACTCTTCGTGACTCCATGGACCAGAGCACGCCAGGCCCTCCTGTCTTCCACTGCCTCCTGGAGTTGGGTCAGATTCATGTTGGTCTCTTCGGTGTCACTGACCAACCATCTTGTCCTCTGTTATCCCCTTCTCCTCTTGCCTTCACACTTTCCAAACATCAGGGTCTTTTCCAGGGAGTCTTCTTTTCTCATGACATGGCCAAAGTACTGGAGCCTCAGCTTCAGGATCTGTCCTTCCAGTGATCACTCAGGGTTGATTTCCTTCAAATGAGGTAGGTTTGTTTTCTTTGCACTCCTGGGGACCCTCAAGAGTCTCCTCTAGCACCACAATTCAAACTTAGAACAACCAGTGAGGTGGAAATCAAAGATTCTCAACAAGCTCACATTTTGATGAGTTGTACCTTTCTCAAACTTGCACAGTAGTTAATAAGATTTCAGCCAGTCCTCTGGGGTTTCCTGTATCCACATCAAAAGTTATGACTTTGTATACATTAGTGTTGGCACCAGACAAGAGAGGAAAGTGGCTTTGAGTGTTCTAGTGTGCCCAACAGACACACTCTTGTTGTGTGCCTTGCCTATGGGATGAGTAGGTATCACTAAATCGGACTTGCAACCCGTACAAAAGAAGGCTTGTATAACTTGCAGCTACTAGCCAAACGCTGTCCACCAACCATCTATTGTATGGAGTAGCAGCTGATGCGTCTGGTCTGTTTCGGAATTCCTGGACAGGTAGCCAAACCAGGCCTTACTACACAAGGCCAGCAAACTGTGTCTGTTTTGGTGGGTCATGTACTACACAGACAAAAACATTCCTAGAGAAAATGTCACAATCATAATAATTGGTCAGGATTACGATCTTAGACTGCATGGTCACCCCATCTGAAATGGGAATTTTACTCATCTTGGGATACTAGCTTGAAAAGAATACCCTAAACTTTTACATTAATGTCTCTTTCCCTAGGTATGCTGATGGTCACCAGTTACGAAATACGTTTGAAAGAAGTTATTGACTTCTGGCTGTTTTTACTAGTGCTCAAGATCCCTAAATAAATGTTTTAAAACCCACATCATTTTACTGATATTTCAAACATAATCAAAATACCTGGTTTGCTGAAATAGTAGCTAAAGATTTTCGGACAAGGGACTGTCACCGTTTCTCCAATTTCTGCAGTGTGCCAGCACGTAAGGTTATCCCAGAGGCCAAGACATCCTGGAAAAATAAGCAGAAAGCATTTAATTTGAATCCACTTGAGTGGAGTTAATCTTTCTAGTACAAAAATCAAGCTACTTGGGGTTAGAGGAAAGGTGCAATTTATGGAGGAATATCATTCTTCTTCCTCCTTCCCCACCCCATATCATTACGGCATTAAGGAAGCCTATTAATTTTTGGTTTTTGAACATACATGAAACAAATACTCTGAAAATCAATCTTGCAAAATACACTGGCTTTCTTTTCCTTCTTCCCTTGGTTGAACCGAGTCATATATTCAATAGGAAGATAACAACCAAGTTGTACCAAAGAAAAAGCACAAAGCACATAATATCAGGCAGAAATATTCTTTCAAATACAGTACTCTTGGAAGTGGGGTTAGAGACTTGTTTTGAATCTTTAGGGCTATGGTTCTTGCACTTTAAATAAACACTGCTGGATCAGTCCAAAGGTTTATACCATATTTTTCCGTGTATAAGATGCCCCCATGTATAAGAACCCCCCCCCACTTTTCTAACCCAAAATTAAGTCTAAGTGGGGCTTAGCAAGTGTAGGGGGAAAGGGATCAAAGCACTGCAGGGTCACTTTGATCCCTGCTTTCTCCCTTCGTGCTAAGCCCCGCAGGCTTAGCAAAAGGAGGGGGAAAGGGATCAAAGCAATCCAGCAACTGCACAATCATTTTGATCCCTTTCCCCCTTATACAGCCATGGGATTGCTTTGATTCTTTTCGCCTTCCTTTTGTTAAGCCCCATGGGACTTAGCAAGCAGAGGGGAAAGTAGGGATCAAAGCAATTCTGCAGTACTTTGATCCCTGCTTTCCTTTTGCAAAGGATTAGCAACTGGAGGGGAAAGCAGGGATCAAAGCCCTGCATGAACAATTTGATCCCTGCTTTCCCCTCCACTTGTTTTTGTACTCTCCTCAGCTTACTTCCGTGTATAAGACAACTCTCAATTTTTAGTCTAAAAATTTTAGACAAAAGTATAGTCTTATACACGGAAAAATACAGTACATATAACCTAGCCTCCATGTTCCTAAAGGCTCATAAGCAGGATGTGAGCACATGAACACTAGAGCGCTCTCCCACTCTTGTTCTCCAGCAACTGGCATTCCGAGGACATTGCCTCCCAACCTGGAGACTTCATGTAACCATCATGATTACCACACACTAAAATCCTTTTCCTTCATGAACTTGTCTACTCCTCATCCTGCGGCCACTGAAATCATCCAAAAGGAGCCAGAGTCTTTCCACAGCAATGGACCAGAGCTTCAAATACGGAGATGGGAAGTATGTTCTTTTTGGATTACCATTCCCAGAATCCCATACATAGCATGGCCAGCAACTTTGGTGGTTGTGGAATTTTGGGAACCATATTCCAAAAGAGAAACATTTCTCATCTCTGATTAAATGGTACCAATGCAGTAGGCTCAAATAAGTCCACTGAAGCTACGGACTCATTCACGGGCACTCCCTATGAATGAGTTCGAAGCACTTTCAATTTTCAGCTTCAATCTCTAATCTGCACATTAGGAAGAAGAACCGTCAGATTTACAGCATTATCTGATATGACAGGAAATCACATTGAGTAGAACATTCATCATCTTGCTGTATTTGTACATCCCAAAAGAGTGGCAATGTAAATGGCCAATGAACTGTTCTCTCCATCAAGAGCTGCCAGACTCCCTTCCTTGCAAAAATCCTCTGATCTCTCCGAAGGTCTGGCCACTGCAATGAGTGAAATCTAGAAATACCAAAACCCACAGGGCATTTTTAGGATACTCTGCCTCAAAGACCTTTCTCTTCAGGCAAGCCTTCCCTCAGTAATTAGCTACCTGTTTCTGATTTTTAGATAGATTTTTATGAATTTACTGCTTTGACTGGGATTTTAGTACTACTTCATTTTCGTGTTTTCCGTTTCTCAGGGTGGCAAATTTACTGCTTTGACTGGGATTTTAGTACAGTACTACTTCATTTTCGTATTTTCCATTTCTCAGGGTGGCACTTTTTTCTTTTTAATATTTGTATACTTATTGGTCTTAGCTTTAATATTGCTTTTTTAATGATGTCAGATGCCTCTTTATACTTGTTAATTTTAGCTTTAAATATTGTATTTTAATTATGTAAAGCACTGTTGTATTCTAATGGTTTTCAGCTTTAAACATTGTCTTTTAATGTTTTAAGCTGCCTTGGGTCCTTTTCAAAAAGAAAGATGAGGTAAAAATATTTTAAACAAACAAACAAAAAACAGAAATTTACAGATGCTCCAAACCAGGGTGGATCCGATTTTGATTTTTGCAATTTAAATTTAAAAAAAAAAATCAAAATTTAAAATTTAAATTGTGATTTAAATCAATTTAATTTTTTTAAAAAATCATTGATTTTATCTGCCCTGGTCCAAACATCTTCCTTTGCTAATTTTCCCATGCTTTTCCAACAGGTCTTTTTCATTAGAAGAAAAATCAAGGAGAAGTACCTTGGAAGTACCATTACAGGTTATGTTTAGTCAAACATAAGTCAACATTCCTTGAACTAACCTAGCAAAAATAAATAAACAAACCATTTTATTGACTGCTTACTTCAAAATTTAATTCCTGTAAATGCATCAACATTCAATAGACCTGATATTTCTGTCAGGAGAAATGGGAAGTACAGTATGGAGACCACAAGCAGATGACACATGCAAAATACAATGCAGGCAATGATAAGAAAGGTACACACCATTGTAGTTTTACACACAGAGACACTTACTTCCTCAAAACTCTTGAAAGCTAGTATAAGCTAATCCTACCTCCAATTTCCCTCTAAATTTGTTGGCCCTGCTGAATTAGATTTTAGACTGTAAGCTCTCTGAGGCAGAGTGTCCTCTTACTTTTTGTAATTTATATAACCACAGTGGTGCCTCGCAAGACAATTTTAATTCGTTCTGTGAAAACCATCTTGGAAAAAATCGTCTTGCGAGGTTCCCTATGCAAGGTCTCAAAAAAAGTATTGCGAAGCATGGTCATAGAAAAAAACATCTTGCGAGACACCATAATGATCGCAAAAACCAATCGTCTTGCGGGTTTTTTGTCCCACGAGGCAATCGTCTAGCGAGGCACCACTGCATATGCTTTCAAATCAATTTGGACTCATGACAACCCTTTTCAGAGTTTTCCAAGTAGAGAATACTGAGAAGTGGTTTACTATTCCTTTCTTCTGGGGGACACCCTAGGACCGTGCGGCTTGCCCAAGGTCACACAGGCTGGCTTCTTTCCCAGGAGACACAGAAGGGAATCAAGATCCCAATCTCTGGCTCCACAGCCAGATACCTAAACTACCGAGCTAAAGTATCACACATACCAATGGAGCCATGACAACAATGAAAACAGTACATGCCGAGCTGTCCTCCTGTCAATAGGCAACTGTTGAGAAGAATAACAACAGGAAGAGAACAATGAGGCAGCGTCTCTCCCATACCCTGCTCTGCATCTTCTAAACAAACCTGCTATCTTTAGATATCTTCAGGATTCAAACCACTTTCTGAGAGGTTCCCAGAGAATTCCCTTCCATTCTGAAGAATGCTTGCAGCCATAATGGACTGGAAACATTTAAAAACATATGCTCTCAGGATGCCAAATTTTGTGCTAGGTATCAAATTCTACAGCAAAATTCTGGATGCCAGAATAGATTTAGTAAAGATAAAGGTTCCCCTTGACATTTAGCCCAGTCGTGTCCGACTCTGGGGGGCAGTGCTCATCCCCGTAGAGGAGCGTTTGTCCAAGATAGCGTTTGTCCGAAGACAGTCTCCGTGGTCATGTGGCCAGCATGACTAGGCACAGAACGCCGTTTCCTTCCCACCGAGGTGGTACCTATTTATCTACTTGCATTTACATGTTTTCAAATTGCTAGGCTGGCAGTAGCTGTGACAGGCGATGGATTCGATCTTATGACTGCTGGTCTTCTGACCCTCCAGCACATAGGCTTCTGCAGTTTAACCCATAGCGCCACCACATCCCCAGAATAGATTTACCTGCCTACAAATAATGTATCCATTGTAGTGAGTGATCAGTGGAAAATCAATATATCCTCTCTCTTGAGCACCTAAAACTGTGATGGTGTTACACAGTTCATTATTGAGATTTCCAAACTCAATAATGAACAGCACTGGCTGCCTTATGTCCTATAGGACTTCTGTATCAACAAATTAAGCAGTCTTTTATCTTTTCATAAGTATACTAATTAACAAGATACTTCGATAATCATCTCCTTTGTTTGCAAAATGTGTTTGTTTGCAAAGATCACTGTATAAACAGTATCATAGCTTAGCAATTTATGCAACTGACACCATTTATGTTTTTTTAAAACAACAAAAACAATAAAGGCAGCAAACTTTAATGAACCACTTTAACAAAATCATATCTGTTAGTGAGAAACATTTTGGAAACTTATTAAAAGGGCCGACTACTGGGAAAATGATACCAAGCAAATATGCACCGAGACAGATGTTATCTCCGGGAATAATCCTACAGGACACAGCATGGTATAGCTGTTGAGATCTTACAAGCTTTTTATAAACATCTTCCATTGTCTTATTAGCATTGTTATCCTTATTCAACTGATGACAGAGGCTGAGAATCTCATTAAACACAGAATTACAAGAATGCCACAGGGGATTTGCAGGGCTCATTTATCATAGTAGCTATTTATTTAAAATATTTTTACCCTGCCTTTCTCCTTAAGAAGCAGAAATATACAGCTAGGCCCCTGATCCCAGACATTCTAGCTTCCTCTACAGCTGGACTCACTGCTCCATATGGACTTTATGGCTCTGTTCTTGTCCCCTAATACTCTCCAGTGTATTTGACTTGACTAAAATCATTCCTTCCCCCTTAATAAGGTCAGCCCTTTCCTTAGACTAGGGGTGCCCAACCCTCAGTCCGCTGGGGCAGTGGTCCCCAACCTTGGGCCTTCAGATGCTCTTGGACTACAACTCCCAGAAGCCTTCACCACCACCTCTGCTGG